GATGAAATCGTTTAGGGGTGAACGGGTTTAAGAGTTTTAAGAGTTTTTAAGAGTTTTAGCCAAATGTTTTATAAGATAGTATAGACTAGAAGGGAACTCGCGCAATGCAGCGAGATACATTTTAATTTTAATATTTTATTATTTATCTCAGTCGATATTATAGTATGGCCTTATGTGATTTTGAAAAAGCGATAATATTTTTATTTTTGAATAAAATATAGTTTTGAAGATATCATAAAATTTTGACAAAAATATATCGATATTAGTATCAAATTAATTATTTAAAATTCTTAATTTTTGTGTAATTTTTTAATTTAATTTTTTTATTATAATTTAATTTAGGTTTAATAACGAAGTAATTTAAACTGGTTTAATAATATAATTTTCTTATAATCTTGAATTTTAAGTAATATGCATCAATATACAGTATTTCATGCATAAAAAAATGGTTTTTAAGAGTTTTTGTCAAATGCTTTATAATATAGTATAGATAGGTTCAATAACGAAGTAATTTATATTTGGTTTAATAATATAATCTATACTATATTATAAAGCATTTGACAAAAACTCTTAAAAATCATTCTTTATGCATTAAGTACTGCGTATTAATGCATATTACTTAAAATTTAAGATTACAAGTGAATTGTGCGTAAATACAATTTATTAAAGCTTCATTTTAAATTCGTATAACTAACTACAGATAAACATCTCATTTTAAATATACAAAATCTAAAATATAATTAGGATAATTCATTTAGTTCTAACAGAATCATTATTTTTATAAAAAAATTATTGTTATGTCAAACATAAATTATTTCACCACTGACCTAAATTAAATTATAAAAAATTAAATTAAAGAAATTGTGAAAAAAAAAACTTTTAAATGGTTATTTTAATATTAATATCGATATATTTTTTTCAAATTTTTATGATGTTTTCAAATTTATTTTTATTCAAAAGTAAAAACATTATATTTATCAAAACCATATAAACCATATTATACCAATAAATACAAAACCTAAAACGAAAACATTAAAATGAATATGTATCTCGCTACATTGTGCTAGTACCTTTCTATTTTTTATAAAGATAATAATTAATTATTTTGTTAAAACTCGATAATTATCATAATTATATTTTAGATTTTTTATATTTAAAATGAGATATTTATCTAATATTTGATTATGTTTATCTGCAGTTAGTTACACGAATTAA